GCCTCTGGCCTGTGTGGGTGCTGCTCTGCCGGCTGGTGCCCCCGCGTCCCTGAGACCCCATCTTGTGGCCCTACAGCACCTGCGGAGGGCTTGCTGGTAGGCCGGCGGGCAAGAGGGTCAGTGGCCTCCCTTCTTCCCGCTCCCTGTCCTGGGGCCAGCCTGGTTGGCTGGCCCCCCCCTCCGCCAGTCTCAGTGGGGCACTGTGACCAGAAGACGTGTGGGCATCTCTGCTTCTGCTGCTGCCCTGCCCAGCAGTGTCCCAGACGACTGTGTCACAAGCACAGCATCGCAGTGGGCCCGTGAGCAAGCACGCGGAGCAGCAGAGCCCTGGGTTCCTGGAGCTCCGAGCGGACGCCCAGTGACGGCGTCCCAGACCACAGGGAGCGGGTGCCTGGCTGGGGTGCTGACCTCGGCGCCCAGCCGGAACCTTCACAGGGCGTAACTGGCCTTCCTGGCCTCACGAGGTGCCGAGGGTAGTTTAGTAAGTTAGGCTGTAGTTTTGCTGAAGTTCTTTTCCTCCATTTTTAATTTAAAAGCACATCGAAAGATACCCCAGCTTATTCGTTTCCCTCTGGGAAAGAAAATAAAGCTTGGATTGTTAGGCAGTTAAGTAAGAAGAGAAAACCTCAATTAGAAGACTTGTAATAAACGTCAGAGGAAGTGTCTAGGATTCCAGGCGGCTTAAACAGGAACATTTTCAGGAAATGCTTGCAGGGTGCTGGGCTGTCTCCCCTTCGTGGGCAGAAAAGGAGGTGCTGGCGGCGTCTGCTGCGAAGGCATCGTTGTCTGCAGGGACCAGCGTCCAGGCAGGGAAGGCGGCCTCGGGAGAAGGAGGCCCAGGGCCCAGTCCTGCTCTTCCACACGCCAGCTTTCCTGAGACATGGCGTGCACTCTGCACGCTCACCCTTGAGGTCTGCACTTCAGTGGTTTTTAATGGGTTCACAGAGTTGTGTAACCATCACTGCTGATTTTAGAGCATTTTTTCCACCAACTCCCCCAAAAGAAACCCCATCCCCACTAGCATCCCTCCCTTCCCTCCCCTCCACACCCCTCCCCATCCCTCCCAGCCACGGCACCGACGTCCTGTCTCTGTCTCTGGCTTTGCCCACCTGGGTGGTTCGTGCCAACAGGCTCCTGCATCATGGTCGTGGTATCTGATTCCCCCCGAGCATCGTGCGATCAGAGTTCCTCCGTGTCACCGCTGGCGTCAGTGCCTCCTTCCCTGGCCAAACCGCTGTCCGTGGTGCAGACGGACCACAGCTTGTTTGCCGAGCAGCTGCCAACTGATGGCCGTTGCTTCCCCCGCTGGCCGCTGTGCCCGGACGTCCGTGCACAAGGGCTTGTCTGAGCGCCTGCTCCCGTCCCTTCAAGTCTGAGGCTGAGTGTGGAGCTGACCCTCCGCACGGCACTTTGACGCTTACAGCACTCGCACCCCTCTTTCCGTGCGTCCCCCCGGCCACAGGGGCTGACGTGTTCCCTAGAGGGGGGATCACCTCTCGGCCCCAAGGCAGCTCGGCCCAGGCAGGTGCGTGTGGGTGTGACACTTCGATCCTCGGGCTCCACGGCCCCCAAGCACCCCTGCTTGGAGCATCCTTCCTTGCAGCAGACCATTCTCCCCGGGGTCACATCCCTGCTGTGGGGCGCTCCTCTGCCTTGTCTTCGCGACACGATGCGGAGGAGTGCTGGCTCCTCCTGTCACCGCTTTGGATTTTCTGATGCTTCCCCCCAACTAGATTCAGGTTTTGATCCCAGATTCAGACATGGAGACACAGTGCCCTCCTCGGGGACATGTCTGGTCTGCCTATGGGTGGGCCCCTTGTGAGCATTAAGAGCTGTTAGTTACTGCTCCCTGCGCTAAGTTGGCCGGAGGGGACAGCCCTGCTCCTCGTCCATCAGGTGTCCCTGGCTCAGCTGCATTCGGGGGTCTCCACCACGACAGTCATAGGTGACGACCCCCTCCAGCCCCCACCCCATCCCAGGTAGTCGGCATTTTGTTCTGAGCAAGACCAGCCCGCGCCCCCCCGTCCACTCCTCCCTCCCTTCCCTCCCGGGTTACTGCATCTATTTCATTGTTTGTTTAAGTTAAAGTCGGTTTATTACTGGATGGACTCGTGGATTGTTGTTTTTTAATAGTTTGTTTACTTTTCGTAATTAGCCTGGTGGTCAGATAGCCTAGACTGGTCCAGCGGGAGCCCCTGATGTGGGTCCCTGCGTCCTTTTGGTGTGATCCTGCCGTGTTCATACCTGCTGGCAGGACACCATGTTCAGCCTTGCCTTGGCCCTGCTTCCCTGCCTGAGGAGCCTGTTCCCGTGAGGGTGAGGGTGCTGGGAACCCCGGTCGGGCAGGGTGGGCCCGCAGGTGCTCTGTGAGCAGACGGAGCGGGGAGCACGTAACTGCGCGTCCGTCTGTCTGTGCGCACGCCCCGTCCACGCCTGTGCCCGCCGGGCACACATACACACCACACGCCTGTGCATGCTCTCTCCCAGACGGGAGCCCAGTCCCTGCCCCGGTGCCCGGGCCCTCCGCCCTCGCACTTGCCTCCACGCTGGCGGCCCTGGTCCAGGAGTCAACACAGGCTGCTATAATCGGTCCATAGTGATTTCAGGTAGTTTCGGAGTAGCTTCAGCCACACCCTGGAAAACGAGCCTTCCGTTGGAGGTTCGTCTGCCTCCCCCAGCCTTCTCATGACGGGGAGCCCAGCCAAGGTCTTAGGGAGCCGACAGCCTCCACTCCCACCAAGGGCACGCGAGCCATGGGATAGGGGAGGCTCGCAGCTGGGGGTACTGAGCACAGACGACAGTGGGAAGTAAAGTCGGTGCTCACGTCGGCAGCTGTCGCGGGCGGCTGTCATGTGCTTACAGCTCTGCACTTCTGGGCTCTTGGTGGGATTTAAAGAGACTTGCTGTGTGGGGGAGCGGGGTTTCCAGGAAACAACCAAGCAATCAAATGCCTTGATTTTATCTTCTGGTGCCCCTGCCAGATAATTAAGTCAGCCTCCCTCAGACAAATGTTTCTGAGAAGGGCATGTGCTTGAAGGGGCAGGCGGGCTGTGCCCAGAGCCCGCAGGGGTGCAGACCTTGGCTCTGCGCCTCGGGAATGGGGCCGCAGGGCCTTGGGGGATCTGGGCCGCAGGGCCTGTTGTGATCAGGTCGCAGTGCCTGGGGGGGATGGGGCCGCAGGGCCTGGGGGAGGTGGATCTGGCCGCAGGGCCTGGGGAGGATTGGGTCTCACGGCCTGGGGGTGGATCAGGGCCGCAGGGCCAGGCAAGGGGTGGATCTGGGCCTCAGGGCCTGAGGGGAACGGGACTCCCGAGGCACCTGGCCCAGCTTCCACCTTGTCCTTGGCCTCCCTGCAGCCCTGCTGCCTGCCCTCCACGGAGGGGCCCTCGGAGCAGCTGTGCAGCCACTTCTACAGATGAGGAGACGGGCTCCTGGGGCTCCGAGCAGGCACTGTGTCCAGCCCTGTGCCCCCTGGGCCCAGGCAGGGCTTCCTGGCAGGGCACTCGTAGTCTGGGAGTATGACTGTCAGGTGCCAGAGAGGCAGGCTGCTCTGTGGCCTCGGGCGGACCAGGGACCCCTGGGTGGAAGCTGCTGCCCCAGGAGGCCCACGTCGGGGAGGCTGCCTGTCCTGGATCAGCACTTTGCGGCTTTTAGTTGGTCGGTTCCCACACAGAGATCCTTGCGGGGGGGGGTCTCTATTCTGCCCTCGCCCCTCAGGCGTCCCCTCTGAAAGGATGGGACCTGCCACCTCGATGGGCTTGCATGGCCTCCACGTGGCTTGCTCCCTGTGGCCCGGGGAAGGCAGAGCCACAGGGCAGGAGACGGGCTCGGTGCCGGGTGAGGTCTTCGGCGGTCAGGTCACAGCCCCCGTGGCATCAACACATGTACCTGCTGGGCTTGTCGGAGGGCCCAGGACGAGGCCTCATTCCCCACCCCCGTCTCCCCTCCGCGCCCGCCACCACCTTCCCAGCTGGGGCAGGAGCGCACCTGCTTGAGAACCCCTGGTGTCGGGCGTGCTCAGCGCGGGGGCTCCTGCGATTTGGAGTTGCCAGGTCGGAAGGGGGTCTTACGGACAGCGCCTGTCTAGTGAGATGCTCCTGTCCTGGCCTGCAGGCCACAGTGCTTGGGCCAGGCCAGCAGGTCTCTCGGGGCCCTGTGCTGGGGCAGAGCCGCCCTAGGAGCAACGCTCAGGAGGGGGGGCCGTGTCACGGGGCGCCGGGTGCGGAGGGGAGGGCGTCTCTGACCCCCCAGAAGACGGGGTGTCTGTCTGTGTGCTTGGTGACGCGCGGGGGCTCTGGGGAACAGAGGCACGCTGGCCCTCAGCCCTGCTGCAGGGAGGGGCGTGTTGCGGGGGCCGCCGGCAGGCCTGTTAGTTTTCCTCTGAGAGTTGGAAGTTTCCGTCTGAAGTGGGACTTGAACCACTGGAGGCGGCACTTGGTAAAGGCAAATATTTACTTGGGGCAGATACTGTTTCTTGGAGATTTGCGCCCATAAAAAACTATTCAAACTAAAAATGGCTCATTTCCTGTCACTTAACGCGTTGCCTGGTGTGGTCCCCAGGGAGGCCCTGCCGTGTGGAGACCCAGGCAGCTGGGCCCTGTTTTGCTTGTGGTTCTGGGGAGGTGGGTTCCCTGAGCAGAGCCGGTGGGCGGGAGGAGTGTCAGCGCTGGAATCGGGAGCCCCCAGCCTGCCCCTGCGGCGCAGGGAGCGCCCTGAGCTCCTGCACGCGCCATGGATGAAGCTGGCGCCGCTGAGCCTCCGGGAGAAGTGAGGGCGTGTAGTGCGCCTGGGATGAAGCTTATCTGGTGCCCGAAGATGGTGCAGCACAAACCCTGGTGTCTCCTGGTGCCCGGAGCACCCGGGGCTCGGACAGGAGCTGTTGGCTGGTGAGGGGCCTTGTTTTCTCTTTGTGAGGAGGGGGCAGTGCTGCTGCAGGGCCCTGTGAGCTCCCCCCGCCCTTGCCCCACTGGGGAGCAGTGCAGAGAACGCAGAAGACTCAGCACACGACTCCATTTTATTGATAGAGGCTGAATGTTCCCAGAGTCCTCACTGTTCCCTCCTTTTTACGCTGTGACGGGGCATTTCCCATTGGTCACCGCTGTCCTGCTGTGTCTGTAGAGGCGACTCCTCGCCCCCCCGCCCCCCGCCCGTGTGCTTTGTCCATGTTCGGCGGGGCCCCCACTTGTAAGTGGGGCAGAGACATCGTCAACGAAGGTGTCCTCCTCCTCGGATCAGGTCTGCGTGTGGCCGGATCCAGCTCAGAGCAGTGGAGCGTGTCTCGTCTCCAGGCTGCTTTTTCCCTGAAATGGCAGATTTATGGGAAATCTACCTTGAAACTATGACATTTCACCTTGGTGCCCCCTCCTCTCTTCTTGTTGCCCGGCAGGCGGCAGAAATCTCTTCCACGGGATGGGCGTGTGCGGCGTGCAGGCTGGTGACCCCGCAGTGTGACCAGGGCAGGTGGGGCTCTTCTGGGAGCCGAGCAAAGTCGGGGCAGCTGGGCTGGGGTCCTGGGAGCGCGCTTGGGGGCAGTGTCCGCCTGGCCATCCTGCAGCCCTGCCCGCTCTAGACGGTGCTGCTGAACTTGACCTCTGACTGCTCGGTGCTGTCCGGGACAACCGCCTTCAGGGCAGCGTGACAGACGCGGCTCAGCGCCGACACGCTGGTTTTCTGCTCGACGTACAGCCTCAGTTTGTCCCTGAAGGTCTCCCCGAGAAAGCCATAGATGAGGGGGTTCAGGCAGCTGTTGGAGAAGGCCGCCAGGTTGACGATGTGGCCAGTCAGCGGGTAGGCGTGGCGGAAGGACTGCTGGCAGGGGGCGGCCCCCGGCTGCGGGCGCTGCAGCAGGTGGACGCTGATGAAGACGTTCTCAGGCAGCCAGCAGATGAAGAAGACCAGGACCACGGCGAAGATCATGCGGAGGGCCTTCTGCCTGCGAGGACGCAGGTCCCGGTGCCCCTGCGCCGAGACCAGCACCCGCGCGATGAGTGAGTAGCACAGCCCGATGACGGCGAAGGGGACGACAAAGCCCAGCGTGACCTCCAGCCACTGGACCTCCCTGACGTCCGCAAAGCAGAAGCAGGCCTCCTCTGTGTGCTGCAGCTGCACGGCGGTGAAGGGCACCAGCGTGGCAGACACGGAGGCCATCCAGATGAGGCCGCAGCTCAGCCGTGCGCGGGGCTTGGTGCGGAACAGGCTGCAGCGCATGGCCTTGGCCAGGGCCAGGTAGCGGTCGAAGCTCATCCAGGTGAGGAAGAAGACGCTGCTGTACATGTTGATCTGCAGGAAGAGCGACATGAAGGTGCAGAGCACGGTGAGGTCGTAGTACTGCTCGTCCAGGTTGAACACTTCGATGAGCGAGTCCGCCACCAGGATGAGGTCGGCCGCCGCCAGGTTGATGAAATACAGGTCGGGGACGGTCATCCGCTCCCGGAAGCGGATGTTGACCACCAGGATCAGGATGTTCCCCACGAAGCCGATGGGGAAGAGGAAGACCGTGTAGAGGCAGGAGAGGAAGAGCCCGATGGCATACTGCTGCTGCTCCCAGAGCACGCCCGAGCCGTTGGCCAGCGCGCGGGCAGGTCGAGGCCCGCGGGGCTGCCGTTGTAGGCGCCCAGCTGCGTCTCCATGCCGGCGGGCGCGGGGCTCGCGCCTCGTCCCCTCGCGCGGGGCCCTAGGATTTGCCACAGGGCTCCCAGAAGCCCTTGTTCAGTGGTGAGTCCATCCTGAGGAGGAAAGGTGGGGCTCTTTGACGTGAGCTAGACACGTGAGGTCGCAGCTGCTCACAGGTGGCACTTGTGCAATTTGAGTTTGATTTGCAGAAAGTTGAGCAAATGGAGGAGGTGACAGTGTCTGCGTGGGGGGCACGTGTGTCCGCCTGGCCTCTGGGGCGTGGCTGCTATGTCCTCGGGGCTCCTAACGCTGGGCACCTGGGGGAGCGAGAGCAGAGGGCACAGGCTACGTGTCACTAAGGCTTCCAGCGAGGCGGGGTAGCTGCAGGGCTACGAGGCAGTGCAGGGCGCGGGGAAGGCAGGACCTCGTCCGCTCTGCTCAGACAGGTGGCTGTTGCCCAGCCAAAGCAGGAGGATCAGAAAACACCCCCTTCTCCCCCCTGAGGGCTCCGGCCCGTTCGTCTAAGTGGAGGCCGATGTGACTCCTCATGCGCAGCGGGTGCAGGCTGGTGGAGGATGTGGACGTGGCGTGGAGGCCCTGGGAAACCTGTCGGGATTGGTCAGGAGAGGAGGTGAGCTGGTCTTGGCCACCGTTGGAAAGAGAAGGCGGATGGCGGGGGGAAGGCCGGCTTCTGCGAGAGTGCGCGAGTGCGCAAAATGAACGCTTTGTGGGAACGGGAGCAGAGCCTCTTCCTGACAATCAAATGGATCAGAAAGGGAGCTTTTTTGCTAATCCTAAGTTTGGGTGCCGAAAGTGAAACTTTTTTCATAATATGAAACGAAAAAGAGAACGTAAGGAATAAAAATAGTAATTACTTTAGAAAATAATATTAAAATTTTTTCCATGTTTTGACAAATTATTGTAAAATCATTTCCTTTTCCTTTTCTTTTTCTTTTTTCTTTTTTTTTTTGCTGCTGTTTGCAGTCTAGAAACTGGGACCTGGAGGCAGGTGAAGAAATCCTCCTGGACCTTTGCTTCTGATGGGCTGGTGCCCTGGCCCTTCACGGGCTTGGCCGGACCGCGAGGCCGGGAGCTGGCCGTCTGCATCCCCTCCCCAGCGGTGACCCACGGAGTTGACCGGCACCTGGGGAGGGGCTGCTGCCGGCCCCCCATGGGCTCTGCTGGTCTGAGGAGCCCTGGCGACCCCACTGGGAAGGCATCACCTCTCCTGTGAGGTCTTTAGGGGTCGTGGCCAAGGTGTTGCTGACGCAGACCAGACACTCACCTATTGCTTGAAAGTGCCGCTTTGGGGGAAAAGGGAAGGAAAAGAAAAATGATAAAGCACGAGCGTGGTATCAGTTACTACTTTAAAAAGATTCCGCAACCTTTGCTTTGCTGGGGTCGATAAGTTGGATTTTATTGGTGGTTTTGTGTTCTTCATCTTTCGTAGGTGATACCGATTTGAACCACACAAATGCTGCTGTTCTCAGGTTCTCCCTGTAATGTTTAAAGCCTCTGTGTTTTAATTTCTTCGGGGAAACTACGCAGAGGATCTGTTTCACTCTTTAAGCGGGGGCACTCTGGAAAGTTTCAGACTTCCTGGCGGAACGCTCACAGGTGGGCAGACCCTCGGCGCACCTGCTCCCTCCCCTGTGCTGGGCAGACAGGGCTCCTCCTCCCCGTGGGGATGCGTCTGTTGATCCTTGACAAACACTGTTTTCATGATGGTCTGAAAAGATAAGGACCTGGTATAACCCTCACTGCTGACACTTCCCTCATGGAAGCTGGCCCTGAACTCACTGTGAAGGTGAGCACTGAAGCGCTGGCGGTCATCTTGTTTCAGAGAGCCGCCGCTGTCAGCGCCACCAGGTGCGTGTCTCTGTGACGGAGTGGTAACTACCTGCCACCCTCCAGGCCGGGCGGGCGTCTAGGCTGGGGCAGTGAGTGGAGTCGGGCCGTCGGGCAGGGCCCAGCGGCCTCACGCACCCGAAGTGAGACAGGCCCTGCTTGAGCAACCCTGACAGAAAAGCCGGATGGTGTTATTTTGGGCCTGCATTATAAACGGGGCCTTCACACGAGCCGCCCTCCCTGAAGTCACGCTGAGGGTGCCCGTGTTGGTCCACGTCTGCTCCGCCTGCCGCCACCTTGTGCTGCGCCCCGGCCAGACTGTCCCCACCCCCACCTCCATCCCGGCACCGACCCAGACGCGAACCCCGAACCTGGGACGTGCTCACCTGTGTCCCTCTGCGCAGACCTTCTCGGCCAGCCTCGGGGGTGTGCTCCCGGCCGGCGGGGGCCTGAGTTCTGGACCTGGGGTGGAGTGGGGCCCTTCGAGGGATGCCGGAGAAGAGGGCAGAGACTGGTGAGCAGCGCCCTGCCGGCGCCCTCAGCCCTCAGCCCTCAGCCCTGGGCCATCGGGAGAGGAGAGGAGAGGCCAGCCCCCGGTGGCGGCAGCCTTTATAGGCACTGGGCGGCCTCCCTGAAGGCCTGCGTTAACCGCTTTTTTGCCGGCTGTTTTTCTCCTGTGCCGTGGCAGGGAGCTCAGCCCACTGAGTGTTTTCCTGGAGGCTCCAGTTTAACTGCTGTGCTTCATCCACTGGTAGGAACCTTTTTTTAAGTTTGAAGGGATGGTAAACAGATCTTGTTTTATCTTTTGGATAGTAGCCTATCATCCTTTGTTGAAACTTAAATATTCTTGCTTGTTTTAGCAGTGGACCACCTTTGAGACTAAACACGGAAAGTCAGAAGTTCAGACAGGAGCTGTGTGAATTATATGTAGAGAACTTAACCTAGAAATTTCACAAGAACTTTGTAGAAGGAAGTTGAACCCCAGAATTGCAGGCACTTGGGCAGGTGAGTTAGGAGTCGGTGGTTACCCTGCTCCCCGGCTTGCCTGTCTCAGCTCCCTGGCCCTTTGCTCCTGAAACCACCTGAGTGCCCGGGCTGGCGAGTGCTGACCAAGAGGCCCTGTCCCTGCCCGGCCGCCGCCCTTCTGCTCTCTGCCTGCCTGCTTGCTGTGCCGTCAGGATAAGCCAGTCCCTTGGTCCCAGTGCTGACTGACCAAGCACCCCCCCTGCTGGTGGTTGGAAGTTTACCATCGGCTTGGAGAGGCTGGTGGGCCGGCCCCGCCCCAAGGGCCCAGGTGTCCCAGCCGCGTGCAGTGCGGGGCTGTGAGGCCAGCGGGCCTGCGGTGCCCCGGCAGCTGCCACAAGACGTGTGGTTTTCCTAAACGTTGCATTTTAATCCACCTCGTATTTTCCTCTTGGTGTCTTTCTACCTTTCGGAGTTTTTTGAAGCTGTGAGACTGAGCTCTGAGTGGTCTTTGGATGACGGAACGTGAATGAAGCAGGTTGCTGCTGAGTGAGCTCCACAAGGCCAGCCGGTGCCCTTCCGGGGGGTGGGGGGTGGCGCAGAGCTGGGCCACCTGTGCCCCTCCTGGGCTGGGGGGAGCTGGGCTGGCCTGTGCCCCTCCTGGGTTAGGGGGAGCTGAGCCACCAGTGCCCCTCCTGGGTGGGGGGGAGCTGGGCTGGCCTGTGCCCCTCCTGGGGGGAGGGGCTGGGGGTGGCAGGAGACCCCACAGCTGCTGGATGCTGGGACAGGCCGTCAGGCACAGTTCAGTCCCTGGGCCCCTCAGCTCCGCCATGAGCGAGTGCCAGTGGGCTAGGAGGCCTTCTGAGTGCTGGTGATTTGACAGTGCTGGGTGCGCTTTCTGGGAGACGTACACATGTTTTAACAGAGAATACTGTGTTGAATTTTTTATGGAAAAATATTAATTCTCTTGGTTTTTTCCAGCTGTGATTCTACTCTGTTCACTTTTTAAACATTTGAATGACATAAATGAGGCTGATTTGATTTTAGACCTATTTTTGGCCAGCTCCAAAATTCAAGATGATTTGAGCATTAAAAATGCTGGAGACACCATTTTGAGAGACATGAGTCATGAGAAAGTACAGCTTCCTCTCTAGTTAAATAAATAAATAGGCAAAACAAAAATTCAGACCTGAAATATCCAAGTCCCGTCACTTGAAGAACAGCTGCCCACCCCGGATAGGAGCCCAACCTGTGGCTGTGCCACTGGCCCTGCGTGTCCGCTGCCGACTCCCATGTTCCCTGCTGATTCGCCTTGGGGCCCGTGGTCCTGTGTCTGGAACCCTGGTTTTCGTGCTTGAAGCTCAGAATTGGAGCTGAGCTGGGGCTACGAGCTCATGGGGCCCCCCTTTTTCCCAGAGCACCAGATGGTTGAGGAGATCGACCCCATGTGGCTGCTTGGTGTGAGGGCCGGGACCCCGATTTGGGGGCTTGTCCACTGAACCCTGGTTGGTGCTGCAGGGAGAGGGGTGAGAGGACTCTTGGAGGTTTGGGTAGAGCATGAAGACCTCCTAGCAAGTGCTCACCCCGAGCTGGGCACTGTGGTGGGTGTGTGATGTCCACCACCTCGGGGATCCTCGGGAAGCTCCCAAGAGCTAGAGGCTGCTGCTGTTCCCACTTAGCCAGGAAAACGGAGCCCAGAGAAATGGCTTAACCAGGACCTCAGAGCTGGGACTTGGCCCGCCTGCCCAGACTCTGAGCCGGAGGTCTCATCTCCACACCAGCACTTGCCACGTTGGCCCAACCATCCCGAGTAGGCACCTCCATGGAGCGCGGTGCCTGGGTTCCTCACAGGGAACCCTAGATGATCAGCCTCCACGTGTTTAAATTTGCAAACGCAGCCCAGCCCCTCCCCGAGTACAGCTGAGGCTCCGGGCCTGTGTTGTGCCCTCCCCTCCAGGAGTGGGAATCCCCCCGTGGGTCACAGTGCAGTGGGGACGCTCAGAACTGACGCCATGTGGCCCTGGGCCTCATCCCCGCTTCCTGCGCCCCTGTGTTCATCATGACGCGGGTGATGTGAGTAGAGTGAAGCACAGCTGTCAGATCTTCCTCAGTCCCGTGCTGCCCATCAGCTGTGAGCAGAGTCGGTCCCAGGAGCTGCTTCTCTGTCTTCCCTGGGCACTCGTGTCAGTCCAGTGTGCGAGGAGCATTGGCGAGATTTGGTTTACTTGTGAGGCTCCAGCTGTGGGAGCCAGGAGCCCGCGCAGCTGCATGGCAGGGGCAGGGCCGGCGCCCTCAGAGAAGCTGCTTCTGCAGCGGTGACCCCTCACGCACGGTGTCTGTGCCTTCTCTCCGATGTCCAGAGTCGGGGGAGCAGGGTGCACCGTCCTGTGCCTGGAGGAGGGTGCTGTTTCCGTGTGAGGCTGACCAAGTGCCCCGGCGGTCCTGGGCCAGAGCTCTGGCCCCTCGCGCATGCCCTGGCCGAGGGCTGTGCTCCATCGGGGCCTTTTGCCAGGTGGTGTCTGCGTGCGGGGCCTGGCAGCCCTGTAGGGGGAGGGCGGCTCCTGGAGTGTCCCTCACTGAGCTTGTCTGGACGCCACCTGGGCCTGTGCTGTGGGCTCCGTCCCGGTCCTGTGCGTGTGCAGGCGTGGGCACAGCCTGTGGGTCCTGGGCGGGTTCGGTGCCCCAGGTCTCCCGCCTGCAGCTTCGCTGGTGTTGACGTTCGGCAGCTGGGCCCTCTTGGCTGTTGCCGGGTTCCTCAAACCCTCCGAGCAGGATGTGCCGGCGGCCACCAGAACACGGGGCTGCCTGGGGGGGCTGCCCAGCACTGGGGGTTTATGGGTGGAATGTTCCAGAATGCCAGCAGTCTTTGTCCCAGCCCCACCTTGGTGGCCCCCAGCGGTGTCCTTGGGGAAAGGTGAGGGGCCCTGGGAAGTGGCTTCACCCAACCGGGTCAGTTCTGATCTGTCTTTAGGCCCGGGGGTCATGCAGGCTTCCTCCTGGAGTGCACGCCCTCCTGCTGCCAGGAAGCCTGCATGTTCCCATGGCTCCCTGAGGTCCCGTGGTCACGGACGCCTGGGGGAGTGGACCAGGCCCGTGGGCCGGGGGGTGGGGTCTGGGTGCCCCCTCTACCTCTCTGTGGTCTGTCTCTTCACCCTCCCCTCCAGCCAGAGCAGCCCATTTTCTTTGTTTATTGTTTTTTGTTGAAGTATTGTTGCCTTAAGAGCAGCCCTGTTTCCCTCTGGGCTTGCTTGAAGTGAGGCTCCCGCTGCTGAAAGGAGGTGTGAGACCCACCCACCTGCCTTCCTGGGGCATTCCCCTTGCAAGGGGGCGGGGTGGGGGCGGGCACGAGAGGGCTTTCTGGGAGGCTGCGGGCAGTCCTGGAGGGAGGCAGCCACGCTGACAAGGAGCTCCCAGACCTCGGTCTGGGTGGCCGCCCCTGGAACCTCAGGCCAGTCCTGTGCCTACAGAGCACAGGTGTCCCCCCGCTGAGCTGGGGGCGGCTCTGAGGAGCCCACGGTGGGCTGGGCACTGCCCTCACCCATCCTCACGGAACTCACCATGACAGGTGGGCCCCGGACAGGACCTGAGTGTTACAGCAACCCCAGACCCCGGCTGACAAGGCTCAAACACAGCTCTGCAAAGAATGCCGCCGGCCTGCTCATCGAAACCCACGCACCCGAGCCAACTTCAGTGCTCCTTAAAGTTCTCAGCAAGAAACTCAGGGCCTGCGTCTAGCCGTCAGTGATGGTCCGTGAAGAAGCGGCCTTCCCACGCGGCCCCGGGCTTGGCCCAGGTGGGCGGGGACACGCCAGGCCCTCCTCTGGGCGTGCTGCACAGAGGCCACAGGAAGGTTTTATGAACGTGCGAGTAAACGAAGAAGTCGTAGAAGGGGGTTCTCTGTAAAAAGCATTGAGTGTTTTAATGGCGTATTACAGAAGCCGCCTGACTGTTAAGGTCCAAATCGCTTTCCTTCCAAATAAGGAATGCGAATACATCAGTACTGAGAAGTACTCAGTACTGAGAACACTCAAAAGCTGTGTTTTTATTCTTTGGGTTGCAGATTAACATTAAAATATTCACTACAATAGAAGCTATCGCAACAACGGAGTATCGCTCAGCGTTAGAGAGAAGCGAGCTTCCAAGCTGCACCTTAGTGTGTGGCCTCAGCCCGCCTGACCAGGCTCCGCTCTGTGATTCTAGTACGTGGCCTGGAGACGGCAGACCTGTGGAGACAGCGAGAGGCTCGGCGGGCGCCGGGGAGGGTCAGGGTCAAGCTGCAGGCGGAGGGCTGGGGGTTTTAGGGCAGCGAAACTCTCCCATTTGATTGGACAGTGAAGGACGCACGCCGTTGTACCTCTGTCCAAACCACAGGATGGGCGGCACCCAGGGTGGACCCTGATCTACCCGAGGCCTTGGGCGACGGTGACGTGTCCACGTACTCATGGGCTGTCGCACCCCCTTGAGAGGGTGGCTGTGCATGTTTCGGGGCAGGAGGCAAACAGGCAATTTCCTAATTTTGCTGCGTCTGAAAAATGCTCTAAAAAAGTAAGGTCCTAGCTTCTTTTTTTTTTTTTTAACTATTAAAGGTGTAGGTCTTATGCAGCCAGAGAGATGCCATTCTTTGCATGTCTCTGTGCTCTAGTCAACCAAGAGAATCTTAACATAAAGCCAGCGACAACAATGGAATGAGACTGATCACCATGCTCTGCATCCTGATGTTTCACTTTCTGCAGATAACATCAAACAGAACAGCTGAGACTTTGGAAACCACTTTCACTGATCACCCCGGGACGGCCACCTCCTGTCCACCAGGTCACGGGGACCAGACCTCAGACCTCCAGGGGTGGTACATTTGAGGACAAAACAAGCCTTTGGAGACGTCTGCACTGCCCCCACTTGCTGGCGGTGCTGGAAGTTAACCAGCCTGGCCATTCAGGGCCAGAGTATAGTGTGGCCATCAAGTTACCTAAATAACGTCTCTATTTTCAGGGTTCCCTCTTTGCCCTTCGCTGGCGCGGGGGAGAGGTGCCGGCTTGCAGACGAGGTAGAACCTCCCGCCTGGGTCAGGTGTGTTGCCAGCACCTGCCCCCTCCAGACTCATTCCATCAGGTGTGAGTGTTGGTTTGGGCTGAGCTGTCTCGCTTTTGCAGAAACTGAGTTTCCCATCAAGCTGATTTCTAAGTGCCTCCTAGACAGACCGTCATCCCTGCTGACTCTGAGCAAGTCGCTCTGAGTCTTGGCAGAGCCAGGAAGAGGCCCTCACTGGCCTGTGTGGCTTGTGTTGGGAGGTAGGGGCTCCGACTTAACTCCCCACTCTATTCAGGGAGAAGTTGTTGCTGGCCTCTCTCCTCCGGCACCTTTGGGTGAGCCGCTCCGGGAGGCTCAGCAGGGCCTGCCTGCATGGCCGGTGGAGGAGGAGGGTGGCCAGGGCAATTGCACAGCTCTCCCCAAACAGGGCCAGCTCCGCCAGGTTCATGAGCAGCTCGTCCCGGGGGGCACCGATGTCCCTCCGCAGCTTCAGCCGGGCCCGCTGGACAAGCGCGGTGTTGTAGAGGAGGCGGCAGGCGAATGAGGCCAGGGTGATGGCCAGAACCACCCAGCAGTGAGCTGAGCCCGCGTCCCCCAGGGGCAGAGCCGCCCAGCCAGCCCGCTGGATGCCAAGCAGGGTGAGGAGCACAAGCTTCAGGACGAGGGCCAGCCCGAGGCCCAGGCTGACCTTCACGATCTCGTACTCGGGCCAGGCAGTCAGTGGGTCCACCTGGCACAGAGTGGGTTCGTAAAGCTCCCTGGACGTGCCCAGGAGGGCCACCACTCCCAGGGAGCTGCAGATGGCACAGCCCCCAACGGCGGCCAGGCTGGCTGCGGGCCTCTGGGCCCCTTGGGGGGCCGCGCGCAGGCAGGACGGGCACTGCAGCAGGAACGCGGAGAGCATGGCCACCTGCACGTACTGCGCGTTGAAGTAGCAGATGTTGAACACGAGGGACAGAACGGCACAGCCCAGGTGGGTCGTGGCCAGGTAGTCTGGCCGGCCAATCGCTGTGAGCGAGAGCAGTGTCACCAGCAGACCAGTGGCAGTGAGGTCCGCCAGGCAGGCATCCAGGCCCTGCAGCCTGGCGCGGCCTCGGACAAAGGTGGTCAAGTTGAAGAGCCCGGCCGCCAGGCTCAGCGGTAGGAACAGTGCCGTGTAGACAAGCGCGCACCTGGACACGAGGCTCTGCGCGGCTATGACCTCTTCCACAGCCGTGGAGACGCGGCTTGGGTACCGGATCCAGGACATGTTGTGGGTGCTCATCTCGGCCGGGTCCCACCTGGAACAGAAGCAGCGGGGGACGTGGGCCTAGCGTCAGGCTGCCCCCTGGGTTCGGGACAGTCTGGGACCTCGTTAAAGACATTTCTGGGTCTTGCCCCCTTTCCCGCGGAGGGTGAGGGCATGGGGCGTGGTATTAACAGCCATCTTCCCTGCGGGGTGGATCCTGGGGAGACTCCTCACCCCACCCCTCGAGCACCCCCTCCCCTCATTGCTGACAAACCGCTTTCCCCGTCCCGCCCCTGGAGCAGATGTGTGCCGGGCCCCTGTCTCCCAAACAGGGTTCCTTCCGTGGGGGGTGTCCAGGCAGGAGGGCTAGGGCTTCCGTTCTGAGCCCATTGTCCTGCTTTCCACACCCAGGCCCCTGCCCTCCAGGGGAGCGGCTAGCGCCCGCACTGCAGGTGTCACCAGCTCTGGCCCACTTGTGGGGACTCTGCTCAGAGCTGGAGTCCAGGAGCGAGGGCTCAGCCCTCCTGGCCTGGCCTTGCCACGGGAAAAACCTCGTTTCTGTGTACATGTCGCCCCCTCCTTAGATTTCAGCCAAACAGCAGGCGAGGCTGGCAGACCACACCGCTGTTTGTTCAAAGCCATTGCGAGCAGGAAAAACTGGGGACGGACCCAATGAAACGCTGAAAGGCGGGCGTGGCTCCCCCTGCTGGGGACGGGCCCCCAGCCTACGGCGGGTGTGCCAAGGCTCGTCCTCACTCTGCGCCAGGCCGGCTCCATTGCATGGTGACCACGGGCAGTGGGCGGGGGTCTGTGCAGACGTGGGTCCACCGTGGCTCCTCTGGCTGGCTGTCTCAGCACACGTGTGTGTGGCAGGCTCGTGTGCCACATGAACACTGACTAACCTGTGTCTGCCGCGACATGGCTGCTTGCTTGCTTTCCTGGAGAGCCGTGCCCGTGCGCACCCTGCTCTCGTCCCGCCAGCCTGTGGGGGTGGCGGGGCCCGTGTGCCGCAGGGGGTCATGACGTCTTCCACCTGCCGGGGCTCAGGGGTCAGTGACTCCCTGAGTGACGTCACACCTAGGACTGGTGGCCAGACCGAGAGGAAGTGACTTGGAGTGTTTCCTTGATGAAGGCAAATTGGAAAGAAGATGCTGTGAACCACTGACCCTGGTGCAGGAAACAGCCTCAGGCTGGCCAGCATTTCAGGCCTTCTGGAGCAAACGCCCTTGTCCTTGCTGGTGGCATTTGGGGCATTCTTTATCAGGGGCCACCCAGTTGTGGGTGTGACCTGATGTGCTGGCGGGCCCCGCGTCCCATGTCGCCCAGCCAGGCGGAGGGAGGGCGCGAGTCCAAGCTGGGCCCGGAGTGCGTCCCGGACTCTGCCGACCGGAAGCCCTCGCCTGCTCCTCGCCGAGTTGAGTGCTTCTCTCCAGGCCAGGCCTGCCTTGGGGCGAAAGGGGCTCCAGCTTCACGGGGTCGTCCTCCCCCACGGTGTGAGCTGTCCGGTGGGAGACCGTGGACTTGGGGGTCCTCAGAGGAGAGAGCAGACGGGCTCCCAGGAGTTGGGGCCATGGTGGACAAACTGTCTCCACGCGTGGGGTGTCCCCACGTGCACAGGTCGGAGCACCTTCTGTGTGAAGGTTTGCTCAGACCTTGGTTTTCCACACGAAGCAGGTACACGTGTGAAACCACTTTCCAGCTGAGGTGAGAGTCATGGAGCGATGTCCAGGCCAGTGTCCAGACCTGCTCCTAGACCATGGGGCCGTGGGCCTGGACATCCAGCCCCACAAGCCCCCCTGCACGCAGGGCACCCCAGAACCCCGGTGCCTGTCCTGGTGGTCCCTTTCCACCCCTGCGGACATCCAGGGCGTGTGAGGCACCTGTTCTTGGCACCCGCTGTGATGCTGCCCTGGCAGAGGGCTGGCCCCTCACCTCTGAGCAGGACTTGCTGTGTGGACGGCCACTCCGTTTGAGTAACGTTGGGGTTTTGACTCTATGAATAAAGCTGCTTTTTAGAATTTGAATGTAGTTTTCACTTGAGCACTTTCTTTTCTTGGGTGAGCACGCAGAGCAGGTCTGCCAGTTCTCAGGGTAAGTGTTTAACTTCACATGAAACTGCTTGCATTTTCCCGCACGGCCGTCTGTCCTGCCTTCCAGCCGGGAGCTCTGATGCCTGCGCTGCTCCAGCAGAAACGGAGGTTCTTACCTGAGGCTCAGGGTTTCCTGGGAGGACAGGCCTCCATCTTGTTCTGGTGCCAGTTTCAGGCCAAGGACCAGGGCTTCTGGGGCCCTTCCTCAACTACACAAAAGGGCTGCCAAGGTCCAGCCTCCCAGGGGACTCCCAGGGCCAGAGCCTCGAGAACATTGTGTTCGCTGCTGCAGCTCCTTAAATAGTTTTCAGAGTGGCTCTAGGAAGCGGGTTCTGCCTCACCGGAGTTAGAAGGGCCGGTCCCCGTGGCCCCAGGGGTCCGCAGTGGGTGTGGGTGGTCCTTGCAGCCCCTCCCAGCCCCGGCGTGCAGACCTGGCCGCGTCCCGCCGTCTCGTGGCCGCCCTCCCCTGCACTCGGTGCTCTCTGGTCAGACCTGTATTGTTGTGAGCGAGCTCCAGGTCCAGCGGGGCCACTCGCTCCATTTCGCATTTCCCCGCTTCCACACGGATGCGTCCTTGCCATAATTACCGTAGTGCCACTGACACCCCCCGCCCGCCCCGCACCCTGCACGTTTAACAGCACGTGTACACTGTCTTGATGGGGGTGCGGGCAGGCCATGCTGCCCTCCTGTGCCAGCCAGGGGACCGTGTCTGACAGCGGCGTCCTAGAGTGTGTGCTTCAGGTTGTGGTCTCGCCTGAGGGGCCCAGCCTTGGTCACCGTGGTCAGTGCCTCCCGGCAGGGCCCTCCCAGCACCACCTCGAGTCCCGTCTGGCTCTGCTGCTGGGAACTCCTCCGTCCTGCGGTCACCACTCGGGCCTCTCCCGAGCTGACGGGGCAGCCGACGGGAGGCCCCAGGCCTTAAATCAAGGTCCATGCGGACTGGGTGAGCCGCCGCCCAGGCCCAGCCCGACCCGAGTTGCTGAAGGCCTGGCTGCGAGGGGACGCCCAGGGCCTCACTTCCCGGTCTGTGACAGCAGGCGCCCGGACGGGCTGTTTACCACCCAGCAGCTTCATGACAAGGTGAGCCTGGCACGTGGGGCGTGGGTCAGCTCCCTCCCGCCCTCCTCACTCTGAGTGCCCGTCCCCGGCACACGGAGCAGCCCCGCCGCCGCCGGGAAGGGGCCTCCCTGTGCAGGGCTCACGCCCAGTCCTCTGCGTGGAAGGAAAACCCAACACCCAGTCAGCGCTGGCTGCTTTCTGACAGCTCCCTCCCTCGTCTACAGGACACAGAGCTGCGGCCTCTGCTCGCCTGCCCTCAGGGACAGGGATGAGAAGTCTGCTCACTTCAGATTGTTTTCTTTGCCACTGGGACCCACTTCGAGCAGAGACAGACTTTCGTTTTCAGAGAAGCTGGCTCCAGTCTGCCGGCTCACTCTGAACGCTGAGAGCCAGGGCTTGGAAAGCAGACAGGCGACCAGAGGGGAGGGGGGGGGTGGCTCACCTGCGGGGGTACCCAGCTCCCGCTCCTCCGAGGCTGCACCGTCCAGCACCGTCTTCCCGCCCCTGGGCTCACCCTGCCTTCCGGGCTCTGTGCTTACTGGAAGGAAAACAGGAATTCGCTCTTAAGTCATTCAAACCACACGCTGCATTTTAGGCAAACTTGGTTTGGCCACGTGACCCAGAAAAACCCAAACTGACCTAGAAGGGAGCTGGCTTCACGTTGCAGACAGAAAAAGTAGTGTGTGTGCCTGGGCCAGTGGTTTCCTGCACGCCCCACACGCTGGCTCGTCCACAGGACAGCCCCTCCCAGAAAGCTGGCAACGTCTGCAGCTTAAAACGGGACCCAAAGCCCCACACCCAGCACAGGGGACTGTGCTCGCCACCTGTCTGCCCTTCCCCTCAGGGTGCCCAGGGTCTCCCTCTGCCCTGTGACAGCCAGTGGACGCCAGGTAATGGGGGTCCTGAACGTGGAGCCCGGGACCCCTCCCTGCCGCCCTGCGGGCCTGGCCTGACGGGGGAGGGGGCTGTTCCAAAGCACCCTTCTTTCTGCGTGGGGTCCTCCTCGCCCCACCTCCCCGAGTGGGCTGGGCAGCTGGCAGGGAAGAGTTTTGGAGGGAGTAACCAAGGACAGGGTAACCCAACCCCCAAGAGTGGGCCCCCAACTCTGAGGGTCTTCCTGTGCGGTACCCAGTTTGTCTGGGGTCCCTGACAGCATGCATGTCCCATGGGAGCACCGTGGGAAGCCCACGGAGGCCCCAGGGCGGTGAAGGACGCCCCAGGGCCTCAGGTGGGCTTTGCTGGGGGCCCTGGTGTTTGAACGTCTCTTACAGCTGTGCTGCCCACGCTGTCCTGTGACGTGTGATGATGAGACCGGGGACCCTGTTCCCAGAGCCCCGGGTCCAAGCACGGCTTTGGAGCGTGCTTGCAGGGGTAAGCCTCGCAGACGTTTGAGGACCACTGGGTGTGGGGAGGCGGGGGAGGCGCGCAGCGCTTGGTGAGGAGCTGGGCCTCTGCCTGTGTCGTCATCCTGGGTCTCCTCGGGCTTTCGGGCGACGAGGTGCTATGCTGTGAGACCCCGTGGCCAGCCACCCTCCACTGGCGTCCCGAGCCTGCAAGCCCAGGGAAGGACCCAGTCCTGACAGCGAGTGTGGGCTGCGCCGGAGGAGAGCTGGCGAGCAGGTCGCTTGTCACCCGGAGCCCCGTGCAGGACCCTGAGCCGCCAAGCGCAGAGCGGGAGAGGCTCACGGGCCCCTGCCCCGGTCATTTCAGAGTGGGCTCCGCCGCCGCCTCCTCAGATGGGCCAACAGCCGTTCAGAAAGCCCTCCCTCCGCCCGTTTTGCTTCCCCTCCATGGCTCACCCCACCCCTGCCGTGGCCCCGCGTTCTTTCCAAACTTCAAACCAACCAAAAAGTGAAAGTAGTTTTGTACCTCGTATGACAAGGTACTTACGCATCATAAAGGGTTTTTTTTGTGTGCGTGTGCAGTTGATTATTGAAGAGACCTGCCCACCCTGTCAGGTAAGTTTACCGTTGAGTTTGAGGCATGAAGAGGAAGAGGGTTTCCGTTCTCCAGCAGTGAGCCTTAGCGGCGGCCGTGAGTTTAAGAAAAATGAAGGAAAAGTTGTGCATCTTTTTTGTTCCATGAGCATGTCAGCGCTTTGCCTTTGGCTGCAGCTGTGGCTGTCTTGCCGTTTCCAGACATGGGAGACAAGGTGGCTGTTGTAGTCGCTGATCCCGTGAGAATGTGAAACTGGGTAACATATGAAATGCAAAAAAAAAGAAAAAAAAGGCGCGCTGGGTCTGAGCCAGGTCCCGCAGCTCTGGGCCTTGCTCTGCGCTGGAAGCTGGTGGCCGTGGGCCTCCACCCTGTGCCTCCTGTCAGGAGCAGGTGACGGAGCTGCTCACTGTTGTAAGGCCCCTCGGAGTGGCGGAGCAGGCGGGCTGCAGGGGGAGGGCCCGGTCCCCTGGCCGCTGCTGCTCCCCAGGAGGAAGGACAGGCCCCCAGGAGGAGCAGCCCCGCCTTGCACTTTGGGGGCTGGCCTGCCTTCCACGCCTGCGAGCTCAGCCCCTGGGGTTTTTCCATCCAAGAGGCCTGACTTAGCAAAACTGGCTTCCCTGTGAACCCTTCCAGCCTTGCGGGGAAGTTTCTGAGCGCCTGGAAGAGCCACAGGCCCATCTCCCCGGAACCTCCAGTCTCCCACAGGGTCGGGAGGCCCTAGGGCAAGTCTCTGGTTCCAGGGGGCAGCGGCCGCCCCCTGCAGGATGGCGGTGACGGCGCCCGTGTTCAGAGCAGCTGTTTAAGCAGTAAATGAGCTGACGGCTCCGAGTGTGAGGACAGAAGGTCAGGGGCTTTTTGGTGGACAAAGTGACCTCCCGCCCATAGAAGGCCTGCCCTTGTCCGTTCCCGGGGCCTGCCTGGAGCCCCTCGGCGCACCGTCCGTTTACTGCTGGGGCTCCTTCTGTGAGCACCAGGCCACCCACCCATCCCACCGGGCGCTGGCGTCTTCTGTGTCCACAGGTCTGAACTGCCTCCCCACTTGGGTCGTCTGTGCCCCGAGGCCGCCTGCTCTGGGCTGGGTTGGGGGCAGGAAGCAGGGCTCCCTGGACGGAAAGCCACGTCTCCTCCCTCCTGGCCTGCAGCGTCCGCCCTCCCCAACACACAGCGGCCCAACCGCCTCGGCGCACATGTGGGAGCTGGTGAAGTCACCAGCCGGGAGGCGGGAGCAGGGGGTGCTCTGTGCACCTGACGCCTGGAGTGTCACACCCCCCTCCCACCCACGAAGCACAGGACACCTGACCCCCCCACCTCCCGACCTGTCCGCCTGGGGGGTGGGCCGTCCGACCAGCGTTGGTCGTCATGTCAGTCGCGCCCCAGATCACTGCCCACTGCCTTGCTTCTCTGTGTGTCCCCAGCCTCATGCTGAGGAGGCCAGGAGACTGGTGACAGCTGGATCGAGGGGAGTGGCCCCCCCCACTGCCCCTTTCCGGGACGCACTGTCCTTCTGGTGAGCCCAGCGGTCAGACTTCCTGTTCAAACCCACAGACAGGGCAGGGGAGCGGACGCCAGGGCGGGGGTGGTGCTGTCATTTCCTGCCTTGACACCAAGACGCCTCTGCGTGTAGAGGAGCCGCTTTATTCAGAGTGTGTGTTTTATACCACATCACTCACCTGTCTTAAAGTACAGTTCAGTGTTGCTTAGGAAACTCACGGGCTTGGGCAGCCATCACCACAAGGCACTTTAGGGACATCCTGAAGGGGGCGGGTGCCAGGACCCCAGGGCAGCACCGTGGAGACTGGCGGTTTTCCCGAGCATTCTTCAGTCTTGGGACCGTGACGCGCCTGTAGAAGTTTCCTCGTCTGATCGTGAGACCCGAGGGGCGTTGGGGACTGCAGTGGCAGGTGGCTGCGGGTTCCTGAGGGGCTGGTTTTGTGACAGCGGTTCCTGTACAGTCCTGTTCGGGGGCCCCGACTGTATGATCACCCAGTTCAGAAAGTCAGAGGACATTTAGCCAAACGTGAGGCGGCGGCAGAGGCCTGCCTGAGGCTGGGAGGGCGGAAGAAGTGTGGGCCGCAGGGGCAGGGCCTCCCAGTTGTGCCGGGAAGGAGGGCTGCGGTGCAGGGGCTGCTGGGGATGAGGGGCTCGAGGTTTGGGTCTGCGAGTGTCCTCGGCCACGTCAGCTGTGGGGCCTGTCTGTTTGGGGCTCCCCACCTCTCCGGGCAGGGGGTCCGGGGCTCTCCAGGCCCTGGGCGCCGGCCTGAGCGCACAGGCGCACGGTGGCCGCTGGAGGGAGCCCCGCGTGCGCCTGCTCCCGAGGCTGGACGGCCCCGCTGAGTCGCCCGTTATCCTGCTTAGAGCCTAGACGCGCACAGCCACTTGTCTGCCAGCGTCTTATTTCACAGGGTCAGTGACAGCAGTGGCAGGCGGTTTCGAAGCAGCCCTGCCCCCTTGCCTAGGAAACAGCTAAGCTGTCCACACACCGGGAGGAAGTGCCCGGTTCTAAGTGGCCACTGCAGGTGGCCGCTGTGCAGGCGGCCCCGACTGAGAGGGAAGCTCCCCCTGGCTGCTCCCTGTTCCACCCCACGCGGCCTCCGTTCTGCACAGTGCCTGAGCCTTGGCCTGGAAACGTGCGGCCCCAAGTGAGCACCAGGGTGTCGGCTCTGCCCCAGCGGGGCTGGGGCCCCAGACTCCTCCCACCCTGCGCTATAGTGTCGCTCAGACTCGTGCCGTAAGGAGCCTGAGGTGCTGCGCTGAAGGCTCCCTGGTTAAGTAAGGCAGGGAAGGGCTGTGGACGCCCCTCCTCGGGTGTGACCTGGATGAGGAGCCCTGCGCCTCCGGCCGCCGCTCGCCAGCCCTCTCCTGCTCCCCTGGTCCTCAGCCCCCACCCCGCACCCCGTGACCTGTGCTGGGAGGGGCTGCGGCCTCACCACTCAGGACCCTTGGCCGGCGTCCCCCGGGGCTTCGGCTCACCCGCATCCCCGAGTCCTGCAGAACTCAGTCGCATCCACACGCCAGCCAAGGCCGAGCCGGGTCCTGGGCTGGGCCCTACACTTTGAACTCCGTTCTGTGAAAAGGGGCGCCCTCCCCTCACGTCTCAGGGTGGCAGGGTGCTGGGTCTGGGGTGCAGTGCTAGAACCTCGTGGACATGACCCTCCCCACCTCCCTCCCTTGAGCTCCAGCCTCTGCACGGCTCGGCCTGGGGCTAGTTCCTGACGCACGGGGTGTCTCATCACCCAAAAGCCAGTGTTGATTCCCTTGTCCTAGAGGGTCCTCTCCGCTCACCCGCCTGCCCTTTGCAGGTCAGCTCTGTGATCACATCTCTTCCGCCAATGGCTGAGTCCTTCTGCGCCTGGATGTCGCTCAGGCTGCGTCTGTTTCCCATGGCAGCTCGGGCGCCCCTCCCCCAGGTGCCCTCGTGTGGAGCAGGGACCCTCGTCGGGTCCACGCAGGGAGGCCTGGTGAGAAACGCGACCATTGCTCAGGTGTGTCAGCACCTCCAGGGGCTGATGCTCGGCCTCCTGCTCCCCCGTCTCCAGGGGGGCAGGGGCACAGACAGGCTCAGAACCCCCCCGGTCACACAGCAGGTGGCAGCTGTACCCCGAGCCAGGCAAGGGGTTTCTCTTCGAAACTGGGACACGTAATCAGCCCCTCAGTTCCCAGAGCCGTGATGCTCCATGTCCTCTGGGGATGAGGGTGCAGTTTCTGGGCGCCCCCTACTCTCTGGCCAACACAGGCACGTTCTCCTCCTGGGACTTAATCCCGTGCTCGAACAAAGCCACATGCACATCGGGGCTGCTGCAGGCGGAAGGTCTGGGGGTCTGTGAGGGCAAGTCCACCAAGGCATTGGCCTGTCCTCAGAGGGAGGGAGGGAGTCGAGGGGTCACCTCCCGGCGTCCAGAACAGCCTGGAATCAGTTCAGTCCTGGGCCGAGCACCTGAAGAGGACGCAGGGTCAGAGGAGCCCAGGGAGGAGGAGGGGGCTTGGGCGGGCTCTCCAGCCGGGCAGGCCTGGGTTTCTCCTCGGCTCTGGCTCTCCACGCATCAGCCAGGTCACCTGGGGGTGCTGGTGCTGTCCATTCCACATCTGCTCGTGGCAGGGAGACCAAGGGTTTGAACACACTTGGTGCTGAGTGTGTCTGGTTTAAGTGCTGGATGAACGGGGGGCTCACGTGGTTGGTCGTGTCTTTGGGTCTGTAAAGGGCCAGCCAGCACAGGGAAGGGGGTCATTCAGAGGCAGACGCAGCACCACCAGTGGGGTTACCAGGGGGCGGGTCTGGCTCCAGGTGGTGGAGACCAGGGGGCTGGGACCCTGTGGCTGAAGACAGTGGCCTCAGGCAGGCCTCCAGAGGGCCCCCGGCCTGGCGAGGAGCAGGCTCCCAGGGAAGTTACGTCACAGGTCCAGTTCCCAGTGGGGTCGGGGTGGTGCTGCTGCAGGTGTGCCGGTAACTGGGTGACACGGGGGCTCCTCTTACTGGTCTCCACTTCTGTTTGCAGTAAGTGGTTCCTTGGAAAATAACCTCACCTTGTTGACAGGCAGCTGGAGTTTGGGTCTAAGTCTTGGGCTCTGTCCCCGAAGTGGGGTCTGCTCAGGGAGGGAGGCTGAGGAGGGGAACATGAACGCAAGCTGCTCAGACCCGCCTTCCATGCGCGTGCTTCGCACAGTCTGGCGGAGTGCTTGCCATGCAGGGCTGAGTGGCCGGGACCACCGGACACCCTCGGCCCTGTCCTCTCCGGAGCCCTGAGTGTGGCCAGGCAGTGTCCGTCCTCTTGGAGGGTCATGTGCCCGTGACAGACTCTGACAGAGCTGCAGCGACGAAGGGGCCTGGGGCTCGGGGGGGGCAGGGGGGACTCCACGTGTGACGAGCCGGCCCAGCCCAGGATCCGCCCACTGGCGTGGCTCCTGCGTGGCTGCTGCTGGAAGTGCCCGCCGTCCGGGGACCCCGCCATCCAGCCCATTGACATTTGGGGCCAGCTGTACCGAGTGCAGGGGTCCCCCAGAGAAGTAGCCAAGATGCTGGAGTTTAAGTCACGAGGGGAGGGGCCATCTTGTGGTACTTTCTGTGCCGGTTTCTGGTACACGTCACACACCCTGCAGATCACACGTGATGGTTCAGAGATCCGACAGTGAGGCTCAGACGACTTCCTGGCCTTCCAGTGTGGGTTTTTCTTCAGTGTCTCCCTCAGATGCATGTGTAGGACTTCAGGCCACCCGGGCAGATGTAACGGATTAGAAATAAGAAAGCCCCCAAAAATCCTGACGGATTTTAAATTCAAGAACTTGACTTGTAATTTAACCTCTTGATGACTTACTCCTGTTGGTCCTTTGTCGGGAGGTTCTTACAAAGGAACAAATGTTTGACTTCTTGATGTGTCTGCCAGTTAGCAGATCCAGGATCCTGCAGTGACCTTTGTAGCCTTCGTGAAGGAAACTCAAGGTTAAAGGCACCTTTTGGGATCTTAAATAACGAAGTGTAGTGAAGTAGGTGAGCTTTTGTTTATCAACAAAAATAAGAGCATTGATATTAGAATTATAGTGAAGTGTCAATAGCAAAACTAAGGACCTTGGGACTGTACTGAAAAGCTTATATTCTGGTATCTTGCAAACACATTTGAAGAAATACAGGATTGTTCGAATGAAAACAAAAACAGGGCTGAGTTCACAGTCCACCTCAGCTCTTTCCAAAGAGCTCCTCAGTCTCTTCTGAACAGCCCAAGATCCGTCCACGGCTGAAGTGCTGGCTGTGGGGCATAACAGAGTGGCCGGGAAAGGATGGAGGCGAATGCCACACAAGAACGTTGGGCAACAAAAACACTCAAGAAAAAAAATAAAAACAGAATGGGCAGACGCGGACTGAGAGGAGGTTCTGTGTAGGGGAGCTTGAACCTCCCACGGTGCGGGGTTCTGCACCGGGGACCCCGATCCAGCGGCAGGAAGTGCTGTCCATGGGGCCTGCTGCCCCCAGAGGTGGACACTGCCACGGGGGAGGAACAGAAACATGTAGCTGCCTGGGCGGGACCCCACCCCACCCCTGGAGGCCCCAGAGACCAGCCAGCTTGTAACCAAGGCCACTGAAACGGAAAAGGAAAAAAAAGTGATTTGAGGCCCCTTTGGCTCTTCGGGCAAGATAGGCTGGGCCGGGGGCCAGGGACCAAGGGCCCAGGTGGACCCCACCCCAGGCACTCTCTGTACTGGAGCGGAGACTGGAAAGGATGAAGAAGGGGAGGGTCTTCTATTTTAAACCTGAGGCGCCCTCCCCTAGTGACAGTGCTGTGCCGGGGACCCTGCAGGGTGGCCCTGTCACCCCCTTAGCCAACTCCAGGGCATCCGAGGGGAGTCACAGGCGCGGACCGGCCCTGGTGTGGCTCCTCCAAGACACACGGCCCTCGGGGCAGGTCTGAGTGGGGGCGGTCAGGCCTGAGATTGTCAGGGTTGAAGAGTCGTGCCCCCAGCCACTCTGGGGACCTGGAGCGGCAGAGAGGTGGCTGTGCTCTTGAGCATAAAGAGCCCTTCACCGACCGGCACGACGCAGAAACCTCTTCAGGGTCTGCGCCCCGCGTGGACTGCAAGGGGCCAGCCCGGCGCCTGGTGTGTTTCTGGGATTCTGAGCCGGCAGCCTCTGCAGAAAAGTAACTGACCCTCCCAGGAGGCCAGGCCCCAGTGAAGCC